TTTTTTTTTTTTTTTTTTTTTTTTTTTTTTTAGTGTGTAACAGAATCACCTAGCTGGGTGGTTTTTTTTTTGATTGTTTGTTTTTTAATTTATCTTTATTGTTGAAAATACTACAAATGTCCCCTTTTTTCCCCCACTGACCCCTTCCACCCTGCACCCCTTTCCCGCCCCAGGCCATCACCACACTATTGTCTGTGTCCATGGGTTATGTATATATGCATATGAGTTCTTTGGTTAATCTCCCCCCCCTTCTCTCCAAGATTCACCAGTCTGTTCCATGCTTCTGTGTCTTGACACTATTTTGTTCATCAGTTTATTATGTTCTTTAGATGCCACATATAAATGAGATCACATGATGTTTGTCTTTCTCTGCCTGGCTTTTTTCACTTAGCATAATATTCACCAGGTCCCCCGGTGCTGTCCCAAAGGTTAAGAGATCCCTCTTCTTTACAGCTCATAGTATTCCATGGTGTAAATGTCTCACAGCTTTTTTATCCACTCATCTACTCATGGGCACTTGGGCTGNAATGTCCCACAGCTTTTTTATCCACTCATCTACTGATGGGCACTTGGGCTGTTTCCAGATCTTAGCCATTGTAAATTGCACTGCTATGAACATAGAGGTACATAAGTTCTTTGTGATTAGTGTTTCAGGTTTCTTAGGATATATTCCTAGAAGTGGGCTCACTGCGTCAAATGGCTGTTCCATTTTTAATTTTTTGAGGGACCTCCACACTGTTTTCCATAGTGGCTGCACCAGTCTGCATTCCCACCAGCAGTGTACCAGGGTTCCCCTTTCTCCAAACCCTTGCCAGCACTTGTTGTTGTTGATTTGTTGATGGAGCCATTCTGACAGGTGTGAAGTGATACCTCATTTGGTTTTAATTTGTATCTCTCTGATGATTAGCGATGCTGAGCATTTTCTCATGTGTCTCTTGGCCATCTGTATGTCCTCTTTGGAGAAGTGTCTCTTCAGGTCCTTTGCCCATTTTTTTAATTGGATTGTTTGTCTTCCTCTTGTTGAGTTGTATGAGTTCTTTGCACACTTTGGAAATTAGCCCCCTATCAGATACATCCTTCTCCCAGACCATGGGGTTTCTTTGTATTTTGAGGTTGATTTTTTGCTGTGCAGAAGGTTTTTAGTTTGATGTAGTCCAATTTGTTTATTTTTTCTTTTGTTTCTCTTGCCCTAGGAGATGTATTGGTGAAAATTCCACTACTTGAGATGTCTGTGTCTTTACTGCCTGTTTTCTTCCCAGGATTTTTAGGGTTTCTCAACTTACATGTAAGTCTTTTATCCATTTTGAATTTANTGGGATGTCTGTGACTTTACTGCCTATGTTTTCTTCCAGGATTTTTATGGTTTCATGACTTACATTTAAGTCTTTTATCCATTTTGAGTTTATTTTTGTGTATGGTGAAAGTTGGTGGTCTAGTTTCACTTTTTTGCATGTACCTTTCCAATTTTCCCAGCACCACTTATTGAAGAGACTGTCTTTACTCCATTGTATGCTCTTGCCTCCTGTGTCAAATATTAACTGACCATAATGGTGTGGGTCTATTTCTGGGGTCTCTGTTCTGTTCCATTGATCTATTTGTCTGTTGTACCAATACCAGGCTGTTTTGATAACAGTGACTTTGTAGCACAGTTTGATATCCGGTAAAGTGATCCCTCCAGCTCTGTTCTTCTTTCTCAAGATTGCTACAGCTATTCAGGATTTTTTTTTCCTTCATATAAATTTTTGGAATATTTGTTCTAACTCTGTGAAATACACTGTTGGTATTTTAATAGGAATTGCAGTGAATCTATAGATTGCTTTGGGTAGTATGGACATTTTAACGATATTAGTTCTTCCAATCCATGAGCATGGTATATTCTTCCACTTGTTTGAATCTTCCTCTATTTCTTTTTTCAGTGTCCTGTAGTTTTCTGAGTAAAGGTCTTTTACATCCTTGGTTAAGTTTATTCCTAGGTATCTTATTTTTTTAGTTGCAATGGTAAATGGTATTTTTTTTTTAGTTTCTCTTTCTGAGAGTTCATTGTTGGTGTATTCAAAGGTGTTAGATTTAGACTGTTGACCTGGCAGAAAAGTGGCGTTCTTTTTAGTTTGGGTTTAAATCATTTTACCTATATTGATTAATTATAAGAGCCTATAAATTACTTTATTACACATGATTAATGTTTATAAAATTACATTGATAATAAAGCAAATGGGTCAAATGTTAATAAGTACCAATTTGGGTAAAGGTTTGTAGGGATTTTTTTGTACTGCTTTTGCAGCTTCCTGTAAGTTTGAAAGCATATCAAAAATTCAAATTTCCATAAATTGTATCAACAACTTGCTATTTCACCTGTGGCTTATTTAGTCATTCCATAAACATTCAGTTGTGCCCATTGCTGTGCTGGGCATTAATTTCCATTTAGCTCTGGGCAAATTTTTATTCTAGTTGGTAGACTGGGAGAGTCTGACCAAGATATTTGAGGGGTTTTCTCTGGGAAGAATCATGTAGTTGGATATAGAATGGACCAGCAATGAGAGTTTGGCTTTAAAATCAAGACTAATTAGGTAATAGCTTTGGTTTTAAAACTGAGAAGTTTGAGGCATAGTTCTATGACCCAAAAGGAAATAAATGCAGACAATCCAGGCCTTTTGTTCAGTATCTAAAAGTTTCCTCATTTTTCCTGTTATTTCAATATATATATACAAGTCTTATGAGAGACTTGGATTTAGAGATGTAACTCAGAAGATTCTTACTTCATATATATTATATCATTTTCTTGTCACTGTTGAAATCCTGTCTAACCAAACTGTTGCTGGGGGACAAGAGGATACTCTTCTCCACAAAACTAGAGAATATTCTATGCCAGGCACCCTGTGAGACTTTGAAGTTGTTGGGCCAGAATTTACATCACAATTCTGCCCTTTCTAGCTCTGTGGCCCTGATCAAATTACTTAACTTCTGTGTTCAGTTTTCTTGTGGTAATATAGGAATAACTACACTCACCTTGTAAGTTTGTTTTGAAGAATAAATTAAAAGTTTAGCTGAAGGAGTATAAATGGAAACAGCATCCTGGAGTGTGACGTTGTTGTCCTAGAGGTGGCAGGGCTTCCAGCCACACTTCCCTGTCAGAATCCAGGGTCTGAGGCTTATTGGCTCTGTGACCTTGGGCAACCACTTGACCTTCTGGACTTTAGTTTTCTTATCTGTAAAATGGAGCTAATAATCTCTAGCCTTCAAAAGGAGGACTAAACACAGAGTCAGGAACAAATAAATGCTAAGTAACTGGTGGTCGCACTTTCTTAACATCATAATCATTGTCACTCAATCAGTACATGAAGCTATAGCAAAAATGAAGCAAATAAAGGCAAAAATCTTAAAAAAAAATTTCAAGAGCAGAAAAAGATATCAGAGAAGAATGAAATTTTTAAAGGAAGAATAAATTAATGAATGGGTATAAATATATGCTGGCAACAATTTATGAAAGGAGAGAAATGTGCTATATACACATTATTTTTGTAAGAAAAGATTAACTTCCAGCACATTTTCCCACAGTTCACATGTGGCTCTGTGGTTAGTCATGTCTACCATCTTTTTAAAAAAAAAAAAAAAATCTTTATTAATTTCAGAGAGAGGAAGAAAGAGAGAGAGAGAAACATCAATGATGAGAGAGTCATTGATCTGCTGCCTCCTTCATGACCCCCCGCTGGGGATTGAGCCTGCAACCCGGGCATGTGCCCTGACCAGGAATCGAACCTTGATCTCCTGGGTCGTAGGTCAATGCTCAACCGCTGAGCCACGCCAGCTGGGCTATCTACCATCTTAATAGACTTATTTTGCTACATTGATTGGAATAGAGTCTGATGTACTTACTCTTGGCTTTGGATTTCTGAGGAGACTTTTCTGTTAGCAGTTATGCAAACATTTATAGAGAGATTGGGCAGGTGGGGGGCAGGTCCTTCTGCTGTGCTGGTTGAAAAGCACATTCCGGAGAGAGTGAGATGAAGGAGGCCAGTTCACAGGATTATATCTTTCCATTTTAGGATGAAGAGGACAATAAAAATGGTAATTTCCTCATTCACATTCACTGTAACTCTTCTTTATTTTTTTCTCTTACTTGACTTTTCATTGTGAGAGGTTTTCAAACCATGGGAAGTCACTTGGAAAAGAAATAGGAAGGTTTTGTCCTCTGTTGGAATGAAAGGGAGCTGGAGTACAGGAGAAATAAAGATATGTTTCCCAAGCATTCCTAACGTGACAGAAGGAATATTCTCTTGGGCTACGTCTGGCTCTCAGATATGAAACTTATTCCCCAACTGGGTAAGATTTAGGGAGAAAAACAAGTAGGCATTGTTTGTGTGGGAAATTCAAAGCATTTAAAACTACCCCTAGAGTCTTCCTTGACTGTGAATGCAATCTTATCAATTCAGTAAGCACATAAAATGAGAAGGGTTATGCAGAAAAGGTATTTAGTAATATTCCCAAGGCAGTGGGGGAATTCTTGTTTTCTAATTGACTTACTGGAGGCTGTGAACCAAAATGATGCTGTGCAAAACGCTAAAAGGCACAGACAAAACCAGTGTTCAGACACATCGATATTCTGACTATAGACACTGTTTAAATTAAGAATGTATTCATTCACTTTCCAAGCGTTTACTGAGGGCCACTTGGAGCAGACACTGTTCCTATCACGGGGGGTATCGCAATGAGAAAAGACAGACAAGTCTCTGCTCTAATGGGCTGTCCATTGTATGGGGAGACAGACAGTAAGCAAATAAATAAGGCCATTTCAGCTGGTGACAAGTCCTGTAAGGTTGATGTGACAGTGATGGGGAACGACGTTAGATAAAGCCATCTTTTTTAACACTTTGGGGAATTTTTTTTGAAAGTTTATGATAAATGAAATCCTTTTCAGTTGTGAAGGAGTTGTAAACGACCTTGGCTGTATTTAATTTATGAGGAAGGAAAAGCCCAAGACTGACCAGTTGGCTGGGCTGGGCTCTGAGCTTGTGACCCATAAGCTGAGTGTGGGCGACCCTGCCAGGACATCTTGGAGCCCTTGACTAAGGGCTTTGCAGAAGTAAGGGCATTACATCACTGTGTCAGTGTTGTAACTGTCTCTCCTCATCTCTGTAGACGTGGGTTACTGAGTCCGGCCACGAAAGATGTTTGCAACAGGAACACAGCTTGACCCCTTAGGTCAGGTCTCAGCCGTCACGCAGGATTTGTTGAGCACCAGCTGCTTTCACATAATCTCTGCAGTGAGCCAGGACGAAGGACGACAGTAACACCCAGTCAGTGACTTAGCGTCCCTGGGAAAGGGGATGTCAGGATCATGGAAATTTCTGGTTGAGAATGTTAACGTAAGAAATCATTCAAACCTGTGAAGAATTTTTGTGAGTTTATTTGAGCCAAACTGTCGACAGTTGCCAGGGAGCCAAAACCTCAATGGATTGAGATCGTGCTCTGGAGAATGGCAGTTCTGCACCTTGTTTTATGCATTACAATCAAAAGAGGAGACGTAAGTGGGCTACATGAAATCCACTGGTGAGACATGAGGGAGGTGGGAGAAAGCAAAGCGGGGAAAACTCTGGGATTGGATAGAAAGTAAAATAATGGACACACTTCTGTTACTTAGGTGGGTGCAGGATAGTTAACAATCAACAGTTAACTCATTAACAATGAGGGGATTTGTGTTTTCCGCAGAGCAGTGCTTTGCTTTGAGGGGTCCAGGAAAAGGAAAATTACTTTGACACTCCAACAATATGTTATCATAGATGCAAAAAGACAACCAACAGGCTTAGTTAGGTGAAAATTAACCTTTGTTAGGGAAAAATGCTGCCTTAGGATGTGACTACTTACCAGAGACTGCTTTTAGTTAAAAAAGGTTTAACTTCAGACTGTCCTTTGTGGTTACTTTAGGTTTCTGAGTTTGCAGAGCCACCATGCAGGCCTTCCCTGAGCTTGTCAGGTTTAGCATGTAGCCCCTTTTCGTCCGCAAGAACTAGTACTCACCCCTGCATTATGATGTATGTGGGAACAATCCTCTTTTCTTATTCTGTTTCGTTATTATTATGGCTTTTGTACAATTTACTGGCTCCTGGGAGACAATTCACATAGTCCCATTAATTGGAGCAGACATTATTGGCCACCCTATAGCCATATCCCCCTCTTCTCTGTTAATAGAGATGCCTATGTGTCCAACCCCAGGGACTGAATCATAATCAGTTATACTAATTCTATTCTGCTTTGCCAGGAATTGGTCTAGGGTTAGGCATATTATCCAGTTCTGGCAAATGAAACATAAGTTGACACTTAATGTGGGATTTTGAAGACAGCTTTTCCTGCCTGATAAGAAGGAGACCTGAGGAGAGACCCTCTGCTGTTAGATGAAGTTGAGAAGCTTCTGTGTGAGGACCTGATATTTGGAGCTGCTGCAGCCTTTTCATGACCTTGAGGAAACATTGTTGATGTGGAGGGCTGTCAGAGATGTTGAACTGCTGAACTAACCCTATAATTATCTAACTCTGGTCTTCTTACAAAAAGAACTCTGGCCCTATTTGTGTAATCCAGTTGTAGTCAGGTATCCTGCTTTTATAACCAAAAGCATTTGATTGATAACAGCAGTTAAAGGCCTGGGCTTTGAAAGCAGACATACTTATGTGGAGTGCCAGATCCACCACTAGTAGGCTCTTTGACATTGCATAGAAGTTGCTGAGTCTTTCTGTGCCTTAGTTTCTTTATCCATAAACACAAGGGCAATAATAATAATAAAAATAATAACTCATAGATTACTTGTGAGGACTAAACGAAATGATGCATAGATACTGATAGCACACAGTAACTATTCAACAGATGTTAGCTATTATAATTATCATTGCTTCTGTGATAAGCCTTCAGAAAATGCCTAAGGATGTGGGCAGAACTGGAACCTGCTGAGGCACTGGTGATGGGAACAGTGTCAGCTAGAGGAGCTGGTGGGAATGAAAGGGAAACAGTGGCAACAGAAGGGGAGAGGTGAGGACCTTGATCCCAAAGTCAAAAGCTCACCACCCTGTCTGGTCATCCTGAAGGTACAGTTGTAGAAAAAGTGTGGGTCAGGTCATACACAAGTCAGATTTGGTGAGCAGATGATCTGTTGGCCAAAAGTGTTTTAAGAAGTTGAATTACTTGCTTACATTTAAAAAAATGAAAGATTCTATATAAAATGTAGATCTTACTATCTCTAGTCTTCTTATAATTATATTAAAAAAAGAAAGCCCCTATTTATTTAATCCACTTATAGTCAGGTATTCTAATTTTATAATCAGAAACATTCTAACAGATAAAGGCATGGGCTTGCGATCAGACATAGCTGAGCCTTTGAGAGGACAGTGGTGCCTGGGTTTTCTTTCAGCCCAGGGATGCCTGATCATCCACTTCACAGTGCTTGGGTGTCTCAGTGGTGTCTCCAGTGGGAAGGCTCTGAAGGCCTGACTTTCCCAGGTGGGTGAAGGAAGGATGCTGCTCTTTTATATAGGAATCCAGCAAAGTTGGGTGATTGGCATGCTTCCCTGTCCACATTTTTGGTGCTTGAACTAAAGATTTTTAACCAGTCAACTTTGCCAATACAATGAACCATATTTTGTAAAAGATCCAAATCGTGTGTGTGTGTGTGTGTGTGTGTGTGTGTGTGTGTACACGTGAAGGCCACATGTAGTATTTTGGCCATAGGTTCATACTCTGACAGTGAACTTCCAATATGCAAGTTTGGCTCCAACACCTACAGAACTTGGACAAATCACTTCGCTTCTAAGCCTCAGTTTCCTTATCTTTAAGATGGGTTAATTGTAACCATCTCATAGGCATGAAAAACGCCTAGGATGGGTAAATGGGTAGTAAATGCTGGCTTATGATTATTGTTCCTCAAAGGATAAGGTTGGCAGTGGTTGGAATGATCAGGCCTAGGAGTCTTACATTTTCCTTGCCAACCTGAGTTGAAGGAGAGAAATTCAGGCAGACAGCTGAAGTTTCTAATTCCTTTTTTCCCTAAGCCTCTTTCCAACTTTATTGAAGCAAAAAGGTTGAGTAGCAAGAGGCTTGCCAGCTGTTAGATGATTGTGCAAAGTTCTGCTCCTTCCAGCAGAGGCCTCTTGTGCACAGGAAATGAGGCTGGTGGCGGGTGCAGGGCTGCCCCAGGCCAGGGCCCCGGTTCCAGGGGGCTTTCCCCGCATCAGGCAGGGGGGGAAGTCTAAGGAAGGCCTTGCAGGGCCTCCACTTCCACGCCACACCCTCTCTGGGCTTCAGAGAGCTGAGTGCCAGTGCTCGGACCGCCGGAGCCTTTCTTGAAAGAAAGGGGGGGGGGGTGGAGGCAAAAAGTTGGGGAGAGAAAGAGAGACAGAGAAGAGGAGAGAGAGGGAGAGAAAAAGGAAGACAGAGAGAAAGAGAAAGGGACGGAGAAATAGAAAGGGAGAGAAAAAGAGAAAGGGAGAGAGAGAAACAGAGAGAGAACAAGACACAGGAGAGAGAGAAAAGGAAGGAAGGGAGGGAGCAGGCATGTCCCGGAGCTGCTGGCTGCTCCCCAGGGTCAGGCCTGCCCAGTAAAATTTTCTGCTCTCTGCCTTCCTTTACTTCATTTCCTTCCTGTGTTGCTCCTTGGCAAAGGGTGGCATCTGAATGATTTCTTAATCCTAATTTAATTACCGTGGATCTATGAAAACTTAGCACAAAGCCTCCGGAATAGATGATTGATCAGGGAGAGGTCAGATGAGCTCCCGAAAGGCAGAGTAGCAGAGAGCAGTAAGCAAAGGGCTGAGGCTGAGTCAAGACACAATTCTGGTGGGAAGAGGGCGTGATGGAGGCATTTTCCCTGGCTCAGCGGGGCCTCTCTCTCCCAGCGTTGGCCATGTGGGCGTGTGGATGACTTGCTGCCCACACATCCTTTCCTTAAGGTTTAAACCTGGAGTCTCTGCCTTGCAGAACCAATATAGTCCCTGGCCCGTATGCTGGGTGTATATGCTGGTCATCATTCTAGGTGTGCCTTTGGCAAGGCAGGAAGACAGACCAAATGGTGGCTGTGGCCTTCCCAGATGAGCACGGGAAGGAGAAGATGGCAAGGCCTGCTTTGGCGTCGGTCTGAGTGCCTGCTCCTCCAGGAGCACATAAGTACTTCCTTGCATGTCCACCCCTCCCGAGGGGAGGTAAAGTAGCAGAGGGGGCAGGGGCCGCACATAAAGGAGCCGGGGGCGCTTCTCCGAGGCCGTCTGTCCCCTTGCAGTGGTGGTTCCTGAGCGCTGAGTTCTGGTCCTGTGGGCTTGGACCAGGCTGCTTCCAGTGGGAGCAGGACGCTGCGCTGACACAGCGGAGCCGGTTGGACGCCCTGGGCAGAACCGGGCTGAGGGTGGAGAAAAAGCTGCTGAGGGCCCCAAAGCCAAAGGAGGAGCTGGGATCGGAAGGAGAAGGCGGGAAGAGGAAAACCAGCAGGATTCTCTTGGCTGCTGCCAGGGGTTCGCAGGGACCAGCACGCTCAGCCCGTTTGTGAGCCCCCGCGCTCAGTCCATTTTTGATGGGGTGCCGGCTCCCCTCTGCCGTGCCAGCCATCAGCCTGCGCCGGGCCTGCTGTGACCGACCCCTCCAGAGGAGCCTGGGGCTGCAGAGCGAGGCCCAGGAGCGCAGGCTGAGCCCTGAAGGCTGAGTCCAGTCCTCACTCTTCATACTAGACCAGGGACTTCGGGGACACCAGCAGGTTTGTCCTTCTGTGGAAAATGGCAGGAGTTAAACCCCCTCCCTGTTTACCTCTCGGATTATGAGAATATGTGAAAATATTTTGTAAATGAAAACATTCATGTTCAAAGGTCTTGTTTTCCCCCAAGTTTTTCAAAATTAAAAATTACAAAAGAAAATTAATGTCAAAAGCAAAAGGGAACATTTACATTTGAACAGAGTGATAAACAGGTGTTCTGCAAAAGAAAAAGAAATCCGTGACATGAAGTTCCTCGTTTAATTTTTCAAACAACAATGACAAGTTGTGGATGCTTGTCTAAGGAAGGGAAAGTGACCTGCAAAACAGTTTGGAAATGAAAAAAATCTCTCCCTCGTTTTGCGGGAGAACAGATCACACCACCTGGTTGCCTGGTATCCAGCATCAGCTCCTAACTCCCCTGGGTGGACGCACTCCCATCCATTGTGTGCCTCCAGGTTCCACCTCAGCACCTGCAGCACCCACTCTGCTTCCTGGGTCCCAAGAAGGGTCCCGGGCAAAGGGGTTTCTAGAATTGTTTCGTCTTCTGGTCTGGAAAATATTATTTCCTCAAGAACCAACTTCTGCCCCTTTCCCATTCATCTGAAAATTGGGAGTCAGGGTTCTACCTGTTCTCTGCAGATCACAGAAAGAAGAACTGGTTGTCCCTCTCCGAGGGGCAGGGTCTCAAGGCCCACCGCCCACCTTGCAGGCCCTAGACCCTAAACCTAGACACCAATAAGCCCAAGGTCTCTTGGGGGCTGTAGAGCAGGAGTCCTTGAGTCAGTGCAAGGGCAACACGTCTTCGCTGTTACTCCCCATCTCACCTGGTCTAATTAACACCCTCGGTCATCTCCGAGGATCTCCTTAGGAGGAACTGAGACTTTGGCCTCACAATGTAACTCCCATTCTCAATCCTGGGAGATGCTTTTGCCTTTGGAGATGGCCATTTACCATGATCGCAGATGACTTTTCAGTGAGTGGATGTTTGCATAGAAGTTGGAACTAGCCAGAACCTTCAGGTTCAGCCTCCATCAGGCAGGTAAGGAATTTTGATCTGTGCCAGGGACTGAAACCTGCTCACCAAAATCAACGCAACCTCCTAATGGAACAAAAGTAGATCACTCTTATAGCCTCCCTGCTATAAGAGTCCCATGGCCTGGGACTAAAGTTTTTCTCCAGGGCAAGGTGAGAGGAAGTGACCATTTAAAACTCTTACATATACTCCTCTGTGCTCTTTTATCCTTCCAGCTGCAAGACCTTGGGAGCCAAGGGTGGGAGGAAGAGTGACTCAGCCTGGACCCCTTCATGGTGAAGTAGAAGAGAGACACCCTGCCCCTCGTTGCAAGTGTGGTTCATTAAAACATGCTACTGGAGTCGGTAGATCCTGCGGTTAAATGCTTTATTTGTACCTCAGTTTCCTCATCTGTAAAATAGAGACAAAGTTCTTACTTCACAGGATTTTTGAACAAGTAATATAAAGGAATGAATGATGACCATCCATTGTAGTGCCTGGCATGTAACAGATGCTCAAGAAATGTTTGTTCTTTGAGGGTTGTTGTGACATTTCCATGACATAATCATTTTGGAAAGAGATGTCAACATGGAAAAACCAGTTGATGGAAGAAGCCCCCACGCCCCTCTCATTCTAAGATGCTTGAACAATTTGTGGAGCTACTCACTTGTGCAGGGTAATGGACGCAGGCTGCTGCAGACGTAACAGAATCTGTAATAATGGAGAATGACATTCATTTAATTTCAAGCCCCTCCTCAGTATCTCCTCCAACCCCAAAGCCAACCGGTGAACGTAGGAAACTTGGTTCAAGTGGCCAGGAACTTGTCGTCTCTGGGATTGGTGTTTAAACAGAACAGCAGGAGGACAGGGAGGGGTAGATGAGGAGATGCTTTCACACTATGGGCGTTTAAAAAAGATGGCAACTGGGTGATTTCTTTAGGTGGCCTTTGAGGTATTGTCCAGCTCCAAGCTCTGTGATCCTTAAGAAAATAAACAGAATTTTAATTTCATCTTGTCTTGACTCCTGTGCCTCCCCAAGCCTGTGAGCTGGGGTAACACAAATCAGAAAGAAAATTCCCACAAAATGAGGAAGCGAGGAAACCAGTGGTCTCCCGTCCATGAAAAATTCATATAAGCATTTTAGCTTGTTATTAGGGGGAAAAATCAAGTCATGTTGATATTTAAGCAACATATCCTTTTGGGAATACTCTTTTTGCCTTTTGGCTGGGGTATAAGTCCATCATCTTTGTATAGGTTTGTATGGATTTTTTTTTTTTTTTTTAATACAGCATCTTTTCTTCAGACATCATTAAAGAACAAGTTGTAGAGTCAGATCTGGATTTGAATCTTGGGTGAGTTAGTTAATATTTAGATGATGTTTCCTCACTGTAAAATTGGGGTTTAATATATACCTGATAAGGATGTCTTGAGAATATTAGAAATCATTAACGCATAGGTGTCGCCATGTAATAAATGATCACATCTGCCTGGCTCCTTCCCTTCTTTTCTCTTGCTAAGACGGAAAAGGTCCCGTCCTGACTGGTGTTGCTAAGTGGTTAGAGCATCGGCCCTACACACTGAAGGGTCTAGGGTTCAATTCTTGGTCAAGGGCACGTAACTGGGTTGCATTGGTTGGGGCGCATGAGGGAGGCAGCCAATTGATGTGTGTCTCTCACATCGGTATTTCTCTCTCCCCCCCTCCCCTCTCCTTACTCTAAAAAAAAATCAATGCAAAAAATATCCTCTGGTAAGGATTAACAAACAAACAAACAAAGATGCAGAAGGTCTGGCCTGTGGGGCCACACTCCACGCTGGTGGCTGGGAACATCCACGCCACCAGTGATTACTGCAGGGGACTTAGGTGGGTAAATAAGCAGCAGCAGGGCTTCCTTCTGCCAAAAAAAAAAAAAAAAGGCAGCTAATCCTGAAAAAGTCTAGGTTATGCCCGCAGAGTATAGGAACATCAGAAGGAGATGTTGATTCTGAGGAAGCTATTTTTAAACGGCTTCCTGCTGAGAGACGAGCTTTCAGGGCAGGTTTGGTTCAGGCCCATTGTAGCTTTCCACCTGAAGGCCTGCGCTCCTCCTGGCACTTATCCCCATCTGCTGGTACTAAACGAAAGACTCCTGCCTTAGGCACAGCTGGCATTGCCAGACTTTTCTTTAGAGCACCACACCGAGGCTCAGGTCAGCACTGAGATCTGGGAGGAGAGAGAGAACCCTTCTGGAACTGAAGAGAAATGGGGCTTCCTATTTAAAAAGGGGAATGTTAGTTTTAGTTTCTGCATGAGTTGCTTAGTTGTTCCTTCTGCAGTCAGCTTCTCTTTAAAGTGACCTGGTGTGGGAACTGTCAGGTTAGAGACCTGGAGAGTGCTAACAATCCACTCCACACCTGGTGCTTAAACATCAACCATTACTTCACTCACTCATGATCTGCCATGTGGGCAGGCTCAGCACAGTCAGCTGGGGTAGCTCAAGGCTAGTCAGGTGTGACTCCATGGCTGGTGGCTGGAATCATCTCAGGTCTCCACTCCCTCACGCACCTGCCAGCTGAATTTGGCACTGGCCGTGACCTCAGTGAAGGCCGTTGGCTGAAAACCTACATGCGGCTTCTCCATGTGGCCACTTGGCTCCTCAGAGCATGACAACTGGGTTCCAAGAGGGAGTGACTCAGGGTGACTGGGCAGAAGTTGCATTCCATTTTCTGACCTGAGCTTGGAAGTCACTTAGCATCACTTCTATTCTTGTCACAGGTCCTCCTAGATTCACAGGGAAGGAAGGTAGGGCCCCTCCCCTCAGTGGGAGGAGTGTGAGCACTGAACTGTAAGACGGGAGGCCTTGTCGTGGCCAGATGGAAAATATCTGACAGAGAGGAACTGGTGGAGGAGTGGAGGCATGGGCTTGTTGTTGGAGAATTAAAGAAAGACCTATTTTTTTTTTCCTTTGAAGATGCAACTTTCAAAACTAGAATAATGGATTGGGATGTATGGAGAAATGGCAGTGTAATAGAAAACAGAAGTAGAATTTAAAAAAAAAATTCATTCATTTGGGACACATTGTAAAATGAAGATCCCGAACTATTTTACACCATCGAATAGTTGTACTTAGAGAGGCCTTCTTTATTTCAAGGTTATCCATCAATGATTTCTAGTATTTCTTGTATTTTTATGGTTTAATTTTTGATAGATTTGGAAATTATTTTGATGAAAGGAGGGACAGAGGAGTTCAGATTTATTTTTTCCAAGTGATTAACGAGTTGGAACATCTACTTACTGATTAATAATCTGTTCCTCATGGATTTGAAAATTTACTTTATCATATACTAAATTCCTATATATTTTGAGGTCTACTTTTGGACTCAGTTATTTTAATCTACCTTTTTACCCTACCAAGATAATTCTCCAACCCATGAGCTCTGGCGCTAAACAGAACCTGGGCGTAAATTCAGAAGCGGGTTATCCTTTGCCTCCTTGAACTCTTGAAGCCTCAGTTTCCTTGTCTGCAAATTGGAGATAATTCCACATACCTCACTGGGTTGATTTCATGAATAAATGACTTCACATGCTGTGCCAAACTGGTGAGCATTAGCTCCCAGCACCTGTGCAGGCTGGGTTCTCTGGGAAGCCACGCGGAACGGGAGACCCACGTGCAGGATGTTTATTTGGGAGTGCCCTGGGATCTACACCTGCGGAAAGGAGGGAAAAAAAGGACTGGGAGAGAAGCGTTAAAGCTGTGACGCAGATCCAAACCCCTCAGCCACCTTGAGAGAGCTCTGGAGGTCAAAAGCCCTTCAACCTTGTCCTGGGTTGGACAGGCTTTCATATGCCACGTCAATCAGTGTTCCGTGGGACCATCAGGGGAATGGGCGTGAGCTGGGAAAGGGGGCTCTCTGCAGCTGAGGCCATCTGCCAAGTGTGATGCCAGCGGCTGGGCCGACAAGCCCTCTGTGAAAGAGGGATCTTGGTTGCACATCCCAGTGTCCACCACGGCACCTCCTTCCCTTTTCCCTCTCCTCTCCCATTTCCAGTTCTGTGAGTGAAGGCAGCTGGGCAGAGCGCCGCGCTGGGAGGTTTCTTGGACAGGCCTCTGCTCTGCTGCAGCTTCGCTGCTCTGTGCGCCGCGGAGTCGCTGAGAACCCCGAGGGCTGAGGAGGACGAACTGCAGGAGACGAGGGCGGGAGGCGAAGGGCCGAAACGGAACGAGCGAGCACGGATTAACAAACCCAAAGCTTTCATCTCAGGTTAAAGCACTTTTCTTTGGACAATTTTTATTTCTGGATCAAAAAATGGGCTCTGCAGGGAGGTGAATATAATAACCAGGATGTGGAACGGTCCCGTATTTACAAGGAAAGTAGTAGTACAGAGCCAACAAGACAAGGCCATCAATTTGCTTTTCCTTTTATTATAAAAGTAAAATAAAAAATAGCATTTATAAATCCAACATTTTTTCTTTTAAAGTATTTGATCTAAAAACATATTTACAATAGCAAAATGCAGAAAAAGGGGAAAATACCATTTTCAGCACTGATTGTAATCATGTTTAAATATTGACACATACCTGTTCTTTTTTCAAATCAGAGATAAAACACATTAGAAAAAGCAGGAAGCCTTTTTTAATTATACATAGACCCTCATTTTAAAATACCTCATTTAAAATATTCTTAATAAAATATTAAGAATTTTCTTAATAAAATATTAAGAATTTCCTTAATTCTTAATCTGAAAACATGACTGTGCTATGGACGGCTAGTAAGGACACCAGGTGGGGACTGTTAATCGTTTAATGACGGTGGGACGCAGCAGCAGTGACAACAGAAAGCAGCTGGTAAAGCTCCACATGGTGCCTCCGAGGCACCGGCCCGCCGAAGGCTGCGACCGCTAGATACTATCTGCAAGTGAGCCGAACTGAAAGTCATTTAAGAGCCAAGAAAGGAAGCCAGGTTTCAAAGGCCTGGAGGGGTCCAGACCGTCCAGGTCCGCGGTGTTCCTCTGAGCGCCCCTGGAGGCGCCTCACCTTCCTTCTTTCGGACAAGCCAATGGAATCTCACAACTTTGGTTTACAGGATGTTGGAAACTGCTGAGGGCTAAATTTTGCCTTCTAGAGGTCCTTCCTGCCCGTAATCATGGGGCATTTTGTTAAGAGTCAGCAGTGAGCTGCCGCTGGTCAGAGACTCCGTGAAGCTGAGTTTGCGGAAGGATGTCTCCACACCGCTGTCACAGATGCTGTCGTCTCGCAGCTCATCTGAGGGGAAGGAGCACAGAGTCACTGGGGTGCAGCTGGGAATAGGGCCACACCTTGGCTCTTGTTATGTTTCATCCCAGCCAGGCTCAAAGTTTGGATCTAAAAGGCATGGGGGCCCGTCTTGCCCATTAGCTTCTGCAGGTCACACATTCCGCCCGCACGGCCCACTTGCCGCTACCGTTCACGGTGGGGTGAGGGGCCGAAAGCACCCGAGGTAATAAAAAACTGAGAAGACACCAAAATTAGCCAGATGTTTTCACATCTCTTTCTTACAGCCTAGCCTCATGTTTATCAGAATCCTTTCTGAATTCTCTTGACCCAACGTGTACCTTTCTTTCTTAGAAATCAGGTGTGTTTTTCCAACCCCTGTATTACCTATTTTATATCCGAACTAGAGGAAGTTGCTGAACTTAAGCAAAATAAATCGGTGACAGAAGTAGGGACTAAAAATAGATGTTTCTGGGCCTCATGCTATCAAGCTCTATACACTGCCTCAAAAATGTTTTGGTAGCAAAATATAAGGTGATTTTGATGAAAATTAGTCTATACTAGACAAGCAGGTCAAAATCTCCTTGTTGAGAAGTGTCTTTAGGGATCTGAATGAACAATGTGAATTATTTCCTATATATAGAG